GGGGGGGGGGGGGGGGGGGGGGGGGGGGGGGGGGGGGAGGGAGCAAGCATGGTTAGGGCGGGCGAGAGGGCCGGGAGGAGCGCAGGGGGGATTCCCGTTGGTCGGGGCACGCTTGCAGGGCACCCGCGAGCGGCCAAGAACGAACCGATGCCGCCCGAATAGGTAATCACGGTGACCGGGCCGTGGGAGCTGCCGAAGGCCGTCGGCGTGACGCAGGTGATGTGGTTTGAGCTGATGAAAGTCAAGGAATAGAGGCACGAATGGCCGGCAACACTGGGCAGGGAGAGGGGGCGGAGGAGGGTCAGCCAGGTCGGCCCGCGGTGGGGGAGGGTGCGCAAATGGGGCAGCCGCCACGTACATGACATCGGCGATGTCATCGCGCGATGTGCCCAGGAAGTCGCCGCGAATTTGGACCAGGGTGAATCCCGAAACGAGGCCCTCGGCCGGATCGAAGCCCAAAACGCGAGGAGCTAGACGAGTGGCGAGTCGCACGCAAGGACGAATGGAGGCAGGTGCCGGCGGGTGAGTGTGAATAGATGTGCGCCTGGGCGGCGGAGGCAGCACACGCCCGAGGGGGCATTGTTGGGAGGAGACAGGGAGAGACAGAGAGAGAGAGAGAGAGCCGAAAGAGAGGCCGTCAGCGCACCCATCATGTACGTGAAGATGGCGTTGTCCAGGTCCTTGCCACTGCCGCCCTGGAGGCAGACGCCCGCATCGGGAAGAAGACGTCAGTATAACGGAATGAGCCCCATGCTGCGGCGGAAGGAGGTGAGGGCAAGACCGCCAGTGGCCATGACGTACGGAGGCCGTTGTGACCACCACCGGGCCGGACACGCCGTTGGCCGGGGTGAAGCACTTCAACTGCGACGGGCTGACATACTCCAGAGACTGGAAGCAGCTAATGCCGCCCACCGTGACATCGAGGACGTCGGCACGATTCTGGCCAAGCGACTCGCCCACGATTAGGATCTGCGTGTTGCCGGTCTGCGGCCCGCTATCGGGCGTGACCGATCGGACGTGCGGAGCTGGTGTGACATGAGGG